AATTTGGCGAAGGTTTTGTGTGAAATATTAAAAAATTCTACCACATAAATATTTCGCTGTGTCCGGAATCTATCGAAACTGCACATTTCCATTTACCTTACAACCAAAATGATTTTTACGATGGAAATCGTTTGCTAAAAAGCGTCAATTATATAGGGTTATACATTTCGTGGTTTCAAAAGTACAGGACTGTATTTTTATATCAATCAAACTTAACTGTCACACGAAACATGTTTTGTTTTATGAAAATGGATCGTTTAACAACCGCACAAAAACTATCCAGCTATTCAAGCAACTGGTACTGTATCGCTACTGTAAGTAAGAGTGTAGCCAGAAACCCGAACGAGGCGCATTTCTCACTCGGGGTAAAATGCTCAAATAATTTCACCCAATAGTACTTACTGTATTGCGCCCTATTTGGTCCAGAGGAGTGATTGAATCTTAATCTCTGCCACAAATTCTGTACTTTTGTTTCAGCAATTTATAGCGGTAATTGCCGTCATCTTCACATCAGCATCACTGCCATCACTTCTCCCTAAAAAGAATGCAACTCAACATTGGAAGACTTTAAGCATAAGACCAACAAAAATATTACTGTTAAACCACTGCAGTATTTTCCAAGTGGAACTCCATGTAATCATGGAAGCCTCCTAGTGGTTGCTCAAATCTACGGCAGTCGGTTAAAATATACTTCGCCAGTCAACCTGTCATCAGATCTTTAGAATGTAACGGTACCACGCCAAAAATGTAGAAACATTCTCAGTTGCATGGTGTATCTCTGTCCACGGTAAAGTAAACTGGCCGTTGCCAAGGAAGCAAACACAAGATGACCAGACAGCTATATCGTTCTAGACCTGTCCTCTACTAACATGCACAATAACAGGCATTTGTTTAATAGGGCTTCACGGGAAAGAAAGGGATATAACTCTAGCGATTTTTGCCGCAGCTGCAGGGACTAACAGAAGTTATCCGCACGTACTTCAATTGCTATTATCTGCATAGAAACACCGATTAATGAAATATTGTATACTTTTTGTATTTGTATTAATAAACTTGTAAGCTTGAATAATTTTCCAAAATTAAGATTTTCTTACGAGTTCGTATATAGTTTAAGTTCACTCCTTTATTAAACATTAACGATCCCACACTGGCTTCACAAATAAAATGGTTAAAGTAAAAAAAAGTGTTGCCTAAGGCGTTTTAAAAATACATACAAATTATGAATATGTATCCACAAATGCAAACACCCAACCACAAAATCTTTCGCACCTTTGGGACCGTAGCACGAAAAGATAAGGAAGTTTCTGTGACGACTTACGGAAGTTAAGCCTGAAACAGACTCTTGTAGGACACAAAGAGGTGATCTAGCCCCCGATGCCCACCGGCAGAACTATTCAAACAAGGCGGTGAAGAGCTGACAAGGTGCATGCACCTGAAACTTTACAGAATATGGTCGGTTGAAAGCATACCCGACAATTGGTATTTAAGTGTGCTCTGCCCACAGTCTGCGCCAATTATCGTGGGATAACCCTCCTTAATATCGCCTATAAGGTCCTGTCGAGCGTATTGTGTGAAAGACTAAAGCCCACCGTCAACAAACTGATTGGACCTTTTCAGTGTGGCTTCAGACCTGGTAAGTCAACCATTGACCAGATATTCCCGTGAACCGTGAAAAGAGGGTTGACACCCACCATCTCTTCGTCGATTTTAAAGCCGACTTCGACAGAACGAATAGGATCTACCTTTACGCCGCTATATCTGAATTTGGTATCCCCGCAAAACTTATACGGCTGTGTAAGCTGACGCTAGACAACACCAGAAACGCAGTCAGAATTAGAAAGGACCACTCCGAGCCGTTCGGTACCAAACGAGGTTTCAGATAGGGTGACTCTTTGTCTTGTGATTTCTTCAATTTGATGCTGGAGAGAATAATAAGAGCTGCAGAGCTGAATAGAGAAGGTAAAATCTTCTATAAGAGTGTGCAACTACTAGCATAAGCCGATGATACTGACATTGCCGGCCTCAACAACCGCGCCGCTAGTTCACTTTCCCCAAGCTTGATAAAAAACGAAGCGATTGGGTCTGGTAGTGAACGAATATCTCATGTCATCAAAGAAACATAATAACGTCAGCATTGAAATTCAGCGCAGAATCACTCTTGCCAGCAAGTGCTACTTTGAACTGAGTAGGCAATTGACGAACGAAAACCAAACTCCACAAGTCCCTCATCGTTCCCGTCCTGCTATATGGTACGGAGGCATGGACGATGACAACATCTGATGATTTGACGTTAGGAGTTTTCGAGAGAAAGGTTTTGCGTAAGATTTATGGTCCTTTCCGCATTGCTAACGGCAAATATCGCAGACAATGGAACGATGAGCTGTACGAGTTATGCGACGACATTGATATAGTTCAGCAAATCAAGAATCAACGGCTACGCAAAGACGGAATGTGGTCATGTGGCAAATACTCCAGCTTTAAAAACTTTCGATGCAGTACCCGCCGGTGGAAGCAGAGGCAGAGGAAGACCAGGTAGAGAAGAAACTGGCTGTACTTGGTATTTCGAATCGGCGCCAAACAGCAAAAATAAGAAACGAATGGCGCACTGTTGTTAAATCGGCTACAATCACGTAAGCGGTGTCTACGCCAGTAAAGTAAGTAAGTACATACAATTGCATATACAGTATATCAACCATATGATCACACCTGGGCATCAGAAAAAGATTTTTATTTGTAACTTTTTTATTTTTCCAACAAATGGAAGGATCTACAGTTCATACTAAGCCGCCTCCGAACGGCTGATAGTTTTTTTTAAGAAGCATTTATTTCATGTCAGAAATACGCTCGGAGGGCTTGACATTTCCTGTCAACAGCTCGACTACTGCGGATGAATGAAGAAATACGTATAGGAACTAAGAAAGAAGATCCTCCAGACGTACAAGAATACTTCTGGTGCTGTCCCAATTTTTTCGTCCCCTTCACCTACTTCTACTTCATAATTGAAGGCATTGCCCTCCTCTCTCCACTATGCAAAGACGGACTGTAAGTTAAACTCGCGACACCACTTGTACACGCTCATACGATTCATAGCTTTATCACAATATGCAGTTTTCACTCATTATAAATATCAAACGGAGGTTTTCCCTTACAAACGGAATAATTTATGACGCCGCGTATTTCGCACTGGGCGGGAGACTGAATTGACACTGTTCACGAAACGTGTTGTCCCGTCGATAACAAAGATAACATAAAACGAAACTCTTTATCTCGTGAGAGCGCACTAAAAACCCACATTTCTTATAACATTTCCAACATTACGATGAAACAGTTTTTTTTTATTTTTTGGCTTTTTTTGATGGCAAAAAGTTAGGCTAATGAATATTTTTGAACGTCTACAGGTTATTTGACTTCAACAAATATATTTGAAGTGCTTAAGAAAATTAATTATAATTTTAATGACCTTACTGACGAAAAACTGCGTTTCTTATTTACTAAATTTTACTGAGGTCTTTTAACGATCAGCTGTAGTTCCAATTTCTTCATTTGGCTTTGATGTTAGCGCAGAAAAATTTTGGTTGATTGATGAACGCATATATCTGCAATTTTTGAGAGTCTCGTGTCATGTTATCGACTATTATCAACGTACTAACTTCGAACCAGAGTCATGGCAAAGGGCAGAAATCTGGCTACACCACCGTCTTGAAAACATGATTGAAATTAAAACCCCTCCCACAGTGACAGTCTCAATACACTTACCAATATGGATATGCCCCTGTTCTATTTGTCAATTACCGCTTTCATCGAAAAACATCAATTTAGACAGCGTTCCACCGGCTAATGTGGATATACAATATAAGCATTCAAAGAAGCACAATCCGACGACGGTAAATACAGCTTGTTGGCATTCACGCCAATTTTGTCATTTTTACCACGCTGGCTTTTCCTTGTTAGCAGTCGGTTGGTCAAATGACCGGTAGCATTCTTGTAGGGTATCCAGCGGATGTTCAATATGTACATATTGACGTAAATACATGGTAACTAATCATACATAAGCACATTTGGTTTTTATTTTGTTTCATGGGTTTTTCTATTCTAACGATTTTGTCCGATGTGCTAGTGAAACCGGTTTCCTATTTTGCATTCAGTTTAGTGGTGCTTAATGCCACACGACCGAAGCGATCACGAGTATCAAAACCACGAAGTTAAAACTTTATCATAAAATGTAATCGACAGCAGTGAAATTCTTTTCTGGAGCAAATTCATAATTAAATAGTGATTAAATTAGTTAATTCAGCTAGAATAATTTTTATTGATACAATGAATCGTAAAAAGAAACAGAAATGCAATATTTACATGATTGATTCATTACAAATATGGTCGAATAAGTTTAAAATTAATTTCATTTGCACTTAATTTTTTCCTCTGGCACTAAACCAAAACAACAAAACTTTGGCCAGTTCGTCAAACAAACATTTGCAAAAGCCGATAAGAGTCCAATCGCAATGAAGCTTTGGAAAAGCCCAAAAACTATCTATAGACATCACTAAGCAATTATATTAATACACATATGCATACTTACATATGTGCATATGTATGTATATTTATGTATGTATCATCACTGATAAAATACATACATACATACACATACATATGTATTTATATATATATTTATTTATGAGCATTACATTTTCAATGGAACATAATACTTTTAGCAGAAAATAAGTATCAAATGTAATAAATGAGAGAAAAAATATAAATTAAGTGTATAACAACTAACAACATCGAAACACTGTTTGTATTTTTTGTCTAATTAGTATATACATATATATATACATATGTATGTAATAGTCAAATTTCTGTTTTTTTCACAAAATTTTCACAATGAAAAATCGAGTAAGTTTTATAAGTTGTACAAAATTTTAGGCAACTAAACGAGTATAGCACATACATGTGTATTTATGTATGCACATGCATATACATACATAGGTATGTTTATGTACCTTTTTAAGCATTCCAGCAATCGAAGTAATCTAATCACTCAAGTTTGTAGCTCCATGATCCAACACCGTGGTTATAAAATTAAAATATTCTTTCGCCACTATTTTCCGATTTATTGTTCACTTCAACGTGCACTAATATTTATACACATCTACATATATACACATTTATGCGTACATATACCAGTAAATACGTATTAAAACGAGTATAACACTATTTTGTATTTTAACTACAGTATTTCGCGGATAATTGCGGCACGCTTAATAGCTTTTCGCTTTCAAATATTTCAACTGAAATTTATGCAAGTTCGTAATTGTGTATCACCCTTAAAGCTGATTCACAGAGCTTTACTTTGATATCGGTGTACACATGTATGTACATATGAATTTACATACTTGCATATATATACATATGCGTTGGTTCACACCAAAAAATACGCGAGGTGAGGCTAAACGAGACCAGACTTATGCACCACAATATGTTATATTTTACATTAGTATCTAAAATTACATTTTTAAAGGTTATACAAAGTTTATACTACGAGTACAAAAGAAATAAAGCATATCAAGAATTTGCTCGAAAATTTAAGGCCTTCATTGCAGCATATTCTCGGTTCGGCTCGCTCTGTTCTCAAGGTTTCATATTTAGGAAAGACAAACCAAGCAAATAAGCCTTTGTTAAGTATATTTTGAACTTTTTTCATACTTCTCCGTGAATTACTTCAGCACAATCCCGTCGTCGATGATACGTGATCGATATGAACATATTCGCTAGTATGTACACATACGTGAATTGCATTGCTGCATACATAAATATATACACACATTTCAGAAAATTGAGCGAGTGTACATTTATATGTATGTATGCTTTATAGATATTTGTACATATACATATGTAGAAACAAAATGCACCAAAGTGTGCTGAGAGTAATGTGGGATACTCAATTTTATATCCATACGAGAATATGAATATGTATGTACATATGTATATGTAAGCTTACTCCTTTGATTTGTGAAATTTAGTTCGCGTGGTCTATTCTTATACATTTATCGGTATCTTGGGATAGTACATATTTATGTGTGTACTTTCCAAAAGCCCACAAATTTACCTTAGTTTACACATGTTAAACAATTTATGCACATTCTACAATTGTAATTTCACTCACAACATTATTATAAATTGATCCGCAAAAACCGTAACAATTTAACTCGATTTATATGTACACATATACATATATATGTATACACATGTACACATTAACGAATTCGAAAACACGTCAACGAAGTTAACTATGCATTTACTAACATTCGACGACGAATCACTATGAAAGCGAAATTCAGACTAAAGCAACTGATCTCAACAAAAGTTTGAGAGTCATACCCGTTCTGAAGCTTTTGAGCTCTACGCTCTAAAAGTCTTCCAATCGTTATCATTATTCATACTTGCTATGTAGGACTATAACTGGGCTGACTTCTCTAGAAAAGCTTTTAAACACAATAATGCCTGCAAGGGAAAATAAACAAAGAAGAGTATACATACATATACATATGTATGCGTCATATCCGATTAATGTAAACACCCTGCAGGGAGAAGGGAGACTGCTATGCCGAAATTCTAATTAAATACTGGTATTTCTAAGATGATAAAATATGATATGATATCATACTAATTACATACATACGCCACGGTTGAGACCAATTCTTTCTTAAAGTTACAAATTATACAAGTATATATTATATGTGTACATATATAAAAGACAATTTACAGTTCGTAAAACATTGTCATAATAACTAGCGAAAATACCAACCACACTCATGTTTACTAAAGATCTTTCAAAATTAATAAGTCATTTTTCTGGACTTACGTCTGAAATGTTAATACCTCCGTGTTAAAAGAAAAAGAAAAATATACTGAATGGTGAAGAGGTACGTATGCATGTAGTTGTTGAATGGAATGATTTCATCATTAAAACCTAGGGCTTAACTCGATTACCAGTTTAGCTTTCACTGCCGGGTAGTTACAGCCAGCCTCATTACCACAGACATAAAATAGCTTTTCGTACACACCTACAAACAAACTATATACATATGTTGGCTTTTATGAATGAAAAGCTTTTGGCTACCCATACATAACCTGCAGTGAAAAGCTAAGGTAGTACATAAAAGCTCTGGTTATGAACTAGTATTTTAGAGATGAATTTATAGCAGATATAGAACAGTTTATTCATCGCAAAAAACAACGATTTCAACCATTACGTCATTGCTATATATAGGTAGTTTAGAGCATATTGTTGTAATACGCATTCATACACAAGATTCGTAATTTTAACTGAATAGAAAATGAGCTACCTAGTTTATATATTGTATAATCTAAATCCAAATAAATAGCGTTCTACTTCATAACTAATATATTTCCCTTCGGGTTGGCATTGAACACGCCGCCGACCAACGAAACTTGCAAATGTTCAAATTGTGCACGTGTGCGTGTGATAATATTCAGAAAATCAAATTCTATCCATCGAAGTCGAAGGATGACTCAGTGTTGATTTCTTGGAAAAGGACTCACACTATGCAATTGTTTATTAGTACGTGTGCTTTTTCTATTTAATTTATTCCTCAACATCACTTAGCCGTTAACTTTGTCATGACTAATAGTGCACAAATATTCATATAATATTTGAGCTGTTAATATACACACATACATTAAAGGATACTATTTAAATTTTTACTCCAAAAAACGATACCTATCCATAATAAACATTCTTGATAAAATATATTATTCGGTATTTTTTATATTTCGAAAAGGGCGGTATTATGATAAAATCTAATAAGACCTTTTTTGCAGTGTTTAAATTTCTATAAAAATTCGGTATTTTGAGTTCCGTTCCGTTTCGCTCCGTTTGCTTTATTCTTCGAAACTAACGATTCTATGACATTCTGTCTATTCTATCCAGATAACGTAGAATAACGTAGTTTTATTGAATGCAATATGGTGATCGTTCGCCAAGGGATGACACGATTTTTGAATTACTTAGCTTAGCTTTTAATTAAATCGTAACGTAAGAAATCAATTATTCTTTACTTTGAGACTTTTGCAATAATCTAATGGTTACATATTCTGTATATATGAAATGTACGTATGTACATATATATTTCAGTGAATCAATATGAGTTAGGTATGTATATTATTGATTTTTTGTTTCATACGAACAGCTACTCCATAGCTTATAGCCATATCCTTGAAAAACGCAAAAGCCGTCACTATTCAATGCTGAAAGGTGAACTAAATCAAAGAGCATTTCGCGTGTTTTGCCATGGCCTATTTGAAATGTTGAAATTTTCGTTATTTTCACTCTCCTTTCGGTTCACGCATATGTACATAGTATATACCTTGTCTTCCATTACAATCAATTACAGCTTTTTATGCTTCCTCGTGGTTACATGATCCATAAAAATGGAGTATACCTTCTAAAATAAACTAACTCAACGAATTATCCACAACTTTTACTACCTGTGTGATATTTTATTTATTTATTTATTTGTTCAAAAATACAACCATAAGCTATTTTACAATGCTTGAACTCCATTCTAATAAATTAAAATAAAACATAATAATAACATCTTAATTAAAACATTAACGCTATCCTTTTCTCTCTAAACATGTTAGTAACGTTAAGGGTTAGAGATTTCATTAAAGAAAAAGTAGCATTTTCAATATTTGAAATATAATAATAAGCGGGCAGTAAGAGTTCGTTTCTAAAGCGCAACGTACTTCGAATGCTTTTGATCCTTTGTGGCAGAGCGTTCGAAAGACCAACAGCAAAAACAAAGAACTGACGTTCAGATACCAGGCAACTGTATTTTATGCTAAGTAAGTTAATTGATCGGATTGATCTTAATTGATCGGGTAAATCTAGTGAATTGAACTCGTTCTAAAAGATACTATACAGTATAATAATAACGGAGTGATTCAGTTTTACTTCATTGTAGCCTACAATTTTGAAATGACAATGCACTGACAACGCACTGCGATATACTAGGACTTAGAAGTAAACCATTATCGCTGGCCCACATGCTAACGTGATCTAAATCTGAATTGACGACATTAATGCAATCATTGACGGAGGCAAAAGGGCAACTGATATATAATTGAATATCATCTGCGTATAAATGAATGTCACTAGTACTTTAGATAAGAAGGGTAGTGTTGCGATAGGTCTGAAGTCTCCATTAGATTTCTTAATTGGTATGATTTTTGCCGACTACCAACATTGAGGAAAAACAGATGTGGTAAAAGTGGTGTTCGAGGCATATGTTACATAAGGTAAAATTTTAGGCAATATACAATTAAAAAATTTAGGATGAATGCCGTCTATTCCAATCAGCCGGACTTGACGTTCCTGTTTAATTTTTTGTGTTTGAATAAAAGTAACTTTTGATTTTGTTCTCAAAAATCGTTTAGTTCATAAAAAAGGAAAAATTAGAAGCACAATCAATTTGTTTGGGAAAATTTTAACTATTCTAATTAACAACAGAACTTAGTAAATTATTTCAGTTTAAAAATATAGTATATACATATAAATACATATATATGTACATTCGTTGAAAGTTTTCATTGACGGAAAATAAAATGATTGCTAAATATCTATTGCACATCATATAGAAATTCAATAAAATACGATAAAATCCCAAATTTAGCTCACATTTCGGATATTAGTGCTGTTTTTTTAATATTAAATACATACATATGTACATGTTTGTATGTAATTACCAATCAAAAGTACGCAAAGCTGGTAGGTAAACGTGGAAATATTCATTTGCATTAGTTAAGATAATTTTTTTTTTTTGCATTTTATGTCTTTTTTTATAGCCAACTTACAATGCTCAGCAGTAGTTTTGATTTTGATAGCATTAGAAAAAAAGGTTTGGATTTGACTGCGAAATGCTTCCCTAATAACTATTCAAATTTATCGGACCGATTGGATTTCGCGCCAAATAATAGCCAAAGGCTTGCCGAGCAAACCAGTGACCTATACCCCAAATGTTCATGTACAACGGAGGCGGAGCTTCGTTTGGCTAGTATGCGTATATTTGCCACAATAATGTTGAATGCTTGGCGCCGTCGTCGGGAGGATGTTAAACGGTTATTGGTTAAAGTTGAAGAGCTTAAAAAAGGAGTATGGTGTCAAGTAATGACATTAGAAGTAATGCGCTTAAAAGTTTTTCTTTCAACAGACACAAAAAGCAAAAAATAAGATTCATGTCTACAACACTCTTTTTCGTGTCGAGCAGAAACGAAATGATGAGCTGTCTTGTCAGCTAAAGTGTTCTATAGAGAGCGTAATGCACGCAAAGTCCTCTTGTGAAAACCTCTCCACAAGTGTGATTAGCTTAGAAGCGGAACGCCTTCTTCTTGAACAAGATTTGACAAATAAAAGTAAGGAACTTGAAGCGCTCACCGACATACTGAGCCAAACCAAAGAACAACTTCTTCAATCAATGATAGACCAACACAATCTACGCTTTACCCTGAACAAAGAGCAACGTTTGGTACAGGAATTGGAAAATCAGAAAAATAAGTTAATAAATGAGGTATTTATGAAACTAGTTCTGTTCGGTGAGTTGATGGACAGTAAGATTTGTCACCACCTGCAGCAGACAGCCTTCATTTGAGAATTTGGAAGTTAGTTGCTAGCTGTCGATGTTAAAAGGAAAATAAAGGTCTTGTTTGGTTTTTTGCAAAGGGTTTCCGAAAAATTCCCTAATATTCAATTTAAATTGTCGACTGATGCAAAAAAGACTTCTAAAATAAATTTTATATTTAAAGATGACTCTAGAAAATGGAATCGGCAAATTGTTGCAAAGCAAGCTAATATAAAGTTTGGTTTTCAAGGAAGAATATTTACTGGTATCTTTATGGTTTGCTGAAATACAACAATGTTTTTTATACATTAAACAAATTTTAAATGCCATAGAATTGCCAATTTTGTTAAACTTCTTACTATATAGTAATGAGTGGATCCAAACGTAACCACCAACTTGCTAAGTAAATTTTATTGAATCCGCTTTGCCATCCATCTTACTTTCCTAGTTTCGTTATTGACATTTCTAACCGAACATTCAGTAGTACACGCGTCTATTTTCGTTTATATAATATTTTAATGACATTTTATATGTATTAGATATAAAATTCGCAATTGTCTTCCAGCTCTATCAGCTAACAAATGAGAGTCGCGAAACAGAAGATAAATATCGAACAGAATTAGTACGAAAGGAAGTTGATTTAGAACGCTCGAATGCGAAGGTTAGCCTTCTTGAGGAGATGTTAAATGGCTTAAAAGAGTAAGTAGGGAGACTACTTACTACTGGCAAAATTATAGTAATGTCAATAATGTTTACAGGAAGTCCCAACGCGTTGATGAGTGTACAGCTAATGACGCCCGCCTTCGAGAGGAAATTGAAAGCCTTCACAAAATGGGTGCCACACTCCAACAAGCTCTAGATAACACATTTGGGAAACGGATGAGTGCCTATTGGAAGAAGATGTACGTTTACCAGCATAAGAGTTTTCATTTTGCGCAAACATTTTTGTACTACCTATTACCTGCGGTGCCTCACTCTAGTGGCTGTTCTAAATTAAAAAATATATAAAATTTCACTGAAAGTAACATTAAAAAAGGATATACATATAAAGTATAAATTTGTTTATTTTCAGTAATCTCTTTTTGCTATTATCTACATACTTATATATTAATTAAATAATTGATTAATTTGAAAAGCTTCCAGAAATAGCTAAATATATCATACATATTTATGTAGATGAAACCAAAGGGCTGTTAGGCACAACATTCTTCTTTCGTTCAACGCACTTTCCTTTGGAAAAATTTCAATTTCACTGAGTGACCTTGTAATTTCAGAAATGAAAATTGCAATGTGTTACCGTGCTTATTTATCTACAAATTTCATGGATTCATTTATGAGAAATACACAAATTTATAGAAAGTTTCAAGAATATTTTCCTGCTACGTGGCTAAAAGCAATACTAATAGTAATTCGGATTGGGTTGGAAAGGGTTAATACGCTTACATTAACGATTGAAACAAAAAAATTGTTACGATTGTTCGTTCGGTTCTTATCTAAAAGATAGCGATATTGTCCATAGTATTAGTGTTACGGCGCTGAAATCATGTTTCTTCGCGTTAAAAGTTTATCTATGACAGTTTTTCGATCGATTGACTCAATACGTCAAAGATGGACACCAGTAAAAAGAAAATTCGCTACATTCTACATTTTTTCCTCGATCAAGGCGAAAAAGCAGCCAAAATGGCTGAAAAACTTAATTTAGTTTATTTAGCACAAAAGTGGCTTGCTAGGTTCTGTTCCGGTAATTTCGATGTCAAAGATGCATCGCGCGTCGGGAGGCCTGTCAGAAAACCTTTTGCCACACGAACTAACGCAAAAAATTTTCAACTGCGAATCGCTGGTGAATCGCAACAAAATCGACCCATTTCGGAAGCGGATTGTGACTGGCGATGAAAAATGGGTCACTTACGACAACATCGAGCGCAAACGTGGTCAAAGTTCGGGGAAGCGGCCCAGACGGTGGCCAAGACCAGATTGACAGCCGGGAAGGTTTAGCTGGCTGTTTGGTGGGATTGGCAAGGAATCATCTACTACGAGCTGCTCCCCTATGGCCAAACGCTCAATTCGGCCCTCTACTGCCAACAAATGAACCGCTTGAAGGCAGCAAAGAAGAGGCCATCTTTGATCAACAGAGGCCGAATTGTGTTCCATCAGAACAACGCCAGAAAAAGTATTGCCAAGTGACCACGATGATCAAGAGTGTGAAATTTGGTTCTTGACAACGGTATCAATCAAGGAAAGGAAAGTTAAGCGGGGGGTGACAGACTCTCGTCTGATTTTAGCTTTAATATTCATTAACATTCATTTGGAATTTTGAACGAAAAGAAAACTTCGTGTTGGCACGGTCACTCGTCAGGCAGGCTCTCATCAGACTCTGGACTATATACACATAATTGGCGTTTTGTAAACGCTGAAGCGAATGGCAGTACGCATTGCGAATCACTCGACTATTGCGTCACCTCCCATACAAAGTGAATTTAAACATGGTACAATTGGTACGCACTAAAAAATGCCCATGTGGAGGTTTATACTTTTTATATGAAAATATTTTTGCACAAATCCTTTCAACCAAATTTTTATTAAATTATAGTCCACAATCAAAATTTTGTGATACAACTAAAATACTCGTTTTAGTTCATTGCCCTCTAATGCGAATACATTCGCTTAAGATACATACATATATTCATATATACAATATATGTGTAAATGTGATGAATAAGTTTGTATTTACATATATAAATTCACATACATTTGTGAGCTTAGGTACAAGTTTGTGTTATTTACATATGTAAGTGCTAATTTGCGGTGAAAATCCAAAAAGTAGAGTAGCAATAATCGTGAAAATATTAGAGATATTTGTTGTTTGTATTTTCAAGTTTTACAAACAAAGTCTACTAGTAACGGTACATATGAATACTCTTATGCTGTAAGTAGCCAAAAACATAGCGACTCAGCTGTCCAACATAGTCGTATCTGAGAGCGCCATTAAAAAGAAAAGTTATCAACTTTTGCCGTCACTGATGTTAAACCAACGGCGATTTGATATTTCTCGTAAGACCGACTCAGCTGATTGCTCGCTTTTATACAAGGTTGCCAGTGTTGACGTTTGCACATTTTATTCAAAAGACATAAAGACTGAATAGGCAATTAATTATTTATTCGCCTATATATAGATCATGTATATTTGTTAGGCGTTTATATTCGATCAAATATATTATGAAATTTGTTGACGAAAATAACAAACTCGTTTCAAAGTATGCTAGCATTTTGGCAGCCAGCAACATTTTAACGCTACAAGCAACGTCATTAACATCAGTCTTCCAGTGGGATGGCATGGCTAGGAGATATGTATGTAAAATGGCTAGTTTAGCTATAATACATACATAAGTATGTTTTTACAATTTATATATGTACGTGAATTTGTACTCTTGCTCGTACTTTTAACAAAATCAAAAACCAATGACCCTTGCAAAGACCTTTGCGGTATAAAAATATATTTACATAGTGTCCAACAAAATTAATACAGGATCATATTTGCAACATGTTTAGAAAACTTTTATCGAACAAGTTTAAGTGTGTGCCCCTGCGTGTTTAACTAACAAATCCACTCTTAAGCGCCGGCACAGTCCATTCGCTGCCTATACACGCGTGATTATTGTACACACAATTACACATTCATATATACGCACATACTATACAATAAAAAGCGAATGTGCATAAGCCGATGTTGGGTTTCATTCGAAGCCAAATTTAAAATTCAGTCGTTTTAGAGATTTGATAACTGACGGACATAATGTCGCGAACATACAAATTTTAAACGAAATCTAGGTTGGCTCAAAAGCATTTACACCAAAGAGAAATCTTCTGTTAGACACAAACAAAATACATCGCCACTATAGTAAACTTTTATTATTTGTAATATAATAAAAAAATGCTGCAGTTCTTTAATTAAACAATTTTAACATATAAATATAATATTATATAAACTCCACTTCTCAAAAAATAAAATTCGATATGTGTATTGCATTTGTTTTAAGTTTGACGCTCAACAATATCAATTGCTAAACATTACGCGCAGCCGCACGTGTTATATTCATCGCGAATATTGTTATTAGCTTTCATGCTTCGTCAACAACAACAACATTTCACAAGTCAAGTATTGTATAAAAGTTTTCTACATAAATAAGTGTACAAGTGGCAATAAAGTATTCAGTCCAGTTAAGAAAAATGTTTGATTTCACTTCTTCGCCCCAGTCGCCTGTTCTTCATATGGAGAATCCTTTTCAAGCTGTCCTACAATTTATCTGGGATGTGTTACTGTTTTTCGTAAAAGCCATTTATTACACCATGGAGTCTGTCTACTATTCTTTGCTGCCAAATCGTTTGCGTAAACTAAAGGTATGTATATATGGATGATCAAAAATTCTCAACTAATTACGTATTTCAATTCTTAAACAAAAGAGTTTGAACATAACTTACCTTACATATGCAACAAATTTAGAGATTACAATATCGTGAATACATATGAACACACACTTTAATATACATAGTAAAAATGCCAGGCGACATATTCCTAAGCGAGCATTTTTACGATGGTTTCCTAACTCAATGAAAAAGTTATAAATTATAATTAGATAGAAATCATGGAGAATTCTCGTAAATAATACAAAATCTTACTAACGTATTCTTATATATAATATGTATATTTCCTTACGGTAATATTATCCACAAAAAATGAAACGGATCAGGGATCAAACTATTCAGTTCTTTTTACTTGAAATCTTTTCTTTCAAAAAATGGATCGGTCTATTTGAAAAACATATGTATGTATGTATATGGTTTTAGTTCGATTTGCTTAAGTTTTTAATGGTACATCGTAAATGAACCAGGTAGTTTAGGCAGAAAATAGGCGACGTACAATACAATTACTTAGCCAGCAATACCAATTGTAATAAAAACGAACATTATAAAGAATGCTAAAACGGGTGGACGGCTCTGATATTTTTTAATTTAGAAAATTCCGTGTAATCAATTATAAACCACCTGAGCTCAGCGCTAAAGCTTTTTGTCGAAATGATGTGACCCAAAAATAGAGTTGGAGATCACATTTCGAAAACACTTTTTATATATTAGCCTGACATAAAACTGCCTCTGCTCTCTTTACTACAGCACTACACACATATTTATATGCATATATTTATTTTATCTTTTATTGAGTCTTTGGATATACTTAATGCACGAATTCAATTAATATTCCAATGGTAGGACAGTAAGCGCAGTCGGCTTTATATAAATATGTATATATGTGTATATTATATAAATATATTTACATAGGTATAGATGAATAGGTTATTTAGTTTCCGTACGATTGTATAGCAATTGGTAAGTAATTGCACGCTTGATTTGGCTGAAATGACAATACCGAAAAGGCAGACCTTTTTCAGCGGTCAGTGGATATTCATTTGAAATGTTAAAAATGTAGATGTGTTGATATTTATGTATTATATTTGTTTGGAAACAACTGGCATTTTAAGTTACAGGTGCCATTTGAACGCAGCTTGTCTTTATGAGGCGCAAAAGAAAAAGTATTAAAGGGGATTGGTGATATTTATTTATTTAGAAACCGCCGTATCGCAGTGGAAAGAAAACGGACTGCCTACCTAGCAACCTTGCGATCGATCACAACACGTACGAGATGTGATAGATACCGAGAGCTGAAGGAGGAATCCAGACGCATTTGCAGTCATATAAAGAAAGAGGCCGAGATGCATGAGAAGCTGACCGACAAGAGTACACTTAGAGGTAATCAAGAAACTGATGCCCAGAGTATACTGAATACCGGGGGAACACTTCTCCAGATGACGAGCCCGATTATTCTATCGATGGCGGTGGAAGAAATGTTTAATTGCCCGACTATGAAGAAATTCGAATAGCTATCGGCCTATTGCAAAACAATACAGCGACGGGGTGCTGATGGTTTACCGGCTGACCTATTCAAATACGGAACCTAGTGTACTCTGCCCAATCCACAAAAAGGGCGATGCAACCATTAATATCGCACATATTGTCCAATCTCGCGTATTGTGTGAAAGACTAAGTCCCACCGTCGAAAACACAATTAGTTCTTGATGGATGTATTGCAAAATCTCCTTTTTTCGAAACAATGTAATATCTCATATGTTTGTTTTTATACTAGGCGTTCTTCAGAAAAAGAGAAGAATCGATTTTCCAATGTCTGTCTCTCCGTCCGTCATTCCGTTTTTGTACATGATAACTTAATTAAGAATTGAGGCATTTTGATAAAATTCGGTTCACACGGCCACTGGGTCTTAAGTATAAACCCTACTGCACACCAAGTTCATGCTGGTAAAGTTTGCAGGTCAATGGATAGAATCCTATAAGGTTTGACGCTTTGGTATTAACACTCAGATGAATATAGACGCAATCAGTTGGAGTTAATGAAGTTTTCCGATTTCGATGATTTTCGCCTTCAATGTTTATTTGTATATACGAGTGGGGAATTCAAAATTTTATGTGTTTAGGTACTTTTTTAACGGACTTTTGACCAAAAAGCTTTATACGGGAGCTATAAGTTAAAGATCTCCGATTTCGATAATTTTCAGTACTAATGTATACTGCCACTGGCAAATTGGTGTTAGATGATTGGTTAAATTCGGCAAAGCGGTGATTACTGTCGAGCGAATACTTGAAGTGCATAGAAGAAACACTTTGGGTATTGGGCGGAGGACATTACCGTTAAGCTGCTTTTTTCCTCTTATATACTTTCGTGCGGAATCGATTTTCAGAACATGACAATCTCATGTTCGAAACAAAATATGCAGAATATGCTTGATTACTAAAGTTTGAAATCGAGTGGAATATTATCAATTATTTAATCGAAAAAGTAAACTCCTGGGAATTTATGTTAAGTTGAGAACACATGTTCATATCGTACATGTCTTCTGATAATTGAAGTCATAAATTTTGAGATTCACCTTAAGCGCCCTTGATTGAAATTGACATAGAGTTATGGAACTTAAAAAAAATAGGTGTTACGGTTTTACGGCCACAGTAGTTGAATGCGTACTACCATGAGGAGGGTGATGGTTTGGAATCCAGATCAGACCAACATTCAAAATTACAGATAAAAAATTTGTTTAACTAATTGTGGCATGACCACGGCTGTATTTGAAAAACAGCAAATGAATACTTAATTTTTTATGCAAGTATTACATGCTATGTTACCAACTTGAACACATATTGACTTTGAAGTCATACTTATTAGCGCAGTAAGCTGCATTTAAATCGAAAATAAATTTGAAGGAGGTGAGATTTCTTTAGTTCAGTCTTTACACGCCTAATTTCAAATACAAATAATATTTTTTGACAACCATATGATATGTAAATATGTACATTAAACAATATTTGTTCACTGTTTTATACACATATACACGTGCATACATGCACATACATATTTATATTCGTATGACCAAAAAATATACAATATCTTAGCTGTGCTAACAAATAAATATTTTACGAATAACTGACTTTCTCTTTGGTTACGCAAATTAGCTATGCACAGATGTGTGGCCCAAGATTGTAAAACTTTTTTTTTACTTATGATGAGTATACGTTCGCACATAGCACTCATTATGATATATGATGAATTAATATTTATAATAAATACATGTATGTATATATATTATTGTTTACAGAATGTTTCAGGACAGGTCGTGGTAATTACTGGCGGTGGAGGAGGAGTGGGAAGATTGTTATCATTGAACTTCGCCAAATTAAATGCTCGTGTAGTCATCTGGGATATCAATCAAGAAGGTAGGAACTCAAACACATTCCTATGGTCTTAAAAAGCTTGTGTCAAAATACATACTGCACTTTTTACTTTGGCCACAAATTACCTTACCTTTTTTTACATAGCGATAAAAACTACGGTGGAATTACTTGCTCGAAATGGCTATGCATGTAAAGGGTATGTTGTTGACATTTCTGACCGGGAGCAAGTATACGAACGAGCAGCGCAAACTATTAGAGAAGTGGGTAGTGTCGAAATTTTATGCAATAATGCCGGTGTAGTGTGCTGTCGTCCATTTTGGGACCTGCCAGATCGTGTTATACAGAACACTTATAATATTAACATAATTTCCCACTATTGGACTGTGAAAGCGTTTCTTCCGCAAATGATGCAAAACAACAGGGGTCATATAGTAACTGTGGGTTCAGTGACGGGTATGTTGGGCACCTACGGTTGCAGTGATTATAGTGCAACAAAGTACGCCTGTATTGGATTTCACGAAAGTCTGTTAACCGATTTAAAAGCACACGGTTACAACGGCATTCACATGACTTTGATATGTCCTTACTACATCAACACAGGTATGTTCTCTGGCGTACGCCCCCGAATGTTTCCAATGTTGGAACCGCAATATGTTGCTGATCGCATATTAGAAGCGGTTTGTAAGAATGAAGTATGGTGTGTGTTGCCTAATTCAATACGCATGCTGACTCCACTGAAGTGGTAAGTAACTTGGCAACATAACTTAACTTTGTACTCTCATGTAGCTACGTAAGTATACGTGTAACTAATTGTCATTCATGAACTTTTCCAACAGTCTTTTGCCCGCAAAAGTGTGCTGGGAGCTCATGTCGAGAGTCATCCGTGGTCCAGAATCGATGATGTTGTTTCAGGGGCGCGGCAGAGTGCCAGCTGGTTAAGCAAATTTTACCAATGTTTATATACATATCTATTTATGTGCATATATGAACACGCCTTATACAAATTTAGATTTTAATGTAAGTTTATCCATGCTATTTTTTGGTAATTAAGTTTTTAATACGAGTATACTGTATTGGTATTATAAATGAAATAAACAAAATATTATCAAGTATGATTAATACAGCTGTTATTGCTATGCAGAAAGTCGTAGACTTGATCAGATCTCCTCGGTAGGTCAATGAACTAACCTTTTATACATCGTACTGAAAAAGGTTTTTAAAGCAATTCAGCGGACTTCGTTTTCCCACCCATATGAAATAAGTTGTATGCTGTATGCAAACGTAAAGAACCATGAATGGTTCACCGAAATGTCACCAAGAAAATACTATATTAAACAAAAATTTCATTTCAAAATCGAAAATAAAAATATTTCATCCTCCATCGTCTGCGGTACTTGCCGTTGCCAATGCACAAATCTTTTCCCTCGAACACTCCAAGGCCGACTCATCAGATGTTGACATCGTCCACGCTTCTGTGCTTTATAGTAGGACGGATATGAAGAGCGACTTGTAGAGCTTGGGTTTCGTTCGTTCATATGCGATAAATTTCAAGGCTAACATCGTTATTGGTGTTAATGCAGGACCCTAGATAGACAAAATTTTCTACGACCTCGGTGTCAACGGTGACAACAGCTCCTGTTCATGCTGTCGAAAGCTGCTTTAAAATCCACGAAGATGTAGTGTGTGTCGATCCTCTTTTCACGGGTCTTTTCCAAGATTTGGCGCATGATTAATGTCTGGTCAATGGTTGATTTACCAGAATTAAAACTATACGATAAGGTCCAATCAGTATGTTAACGATGGGCTTTAGTCTTTCACGCAATTCCCTCGATAGGATATTATATGCGATATTAATTAGGCTTATCCCACGGAATATCTCGTCATCAATCAACCGGTCATTGCATTTGCGACTCGCTAGGTCATGTGGTTCGGATGGATGATAATACTCCAGCTTCGAAATCTTTCGAAGCAATACCCACCGATGGGCGAGAAGGAGGAGGCATCGAATCCGTTTGAAAGACCAGGAAGAGAAGGACCTGTACTTGGTATCCCCAATTGGCCCCAAACAGCGAAAAGAAGAAATAAATAGAACAATATTATTGTTTCAGCGGTACCTTCGCCAGTAAATAAGAAGAATTACTAAACGAAGATGCATGTGCGCAATAAGATTTTTACTCGAATACAGAAAGTGTATGAAACTAAAATAGAGTCAGTTTCGTTTTGCTGGTGATTTCTGCAGGATAAGTTACTCCATTTTTCATTGCTTTTTAGATTTGTTCATTTAAGAGCACGCTATATCGTACGAAAAGATCAACTAATGGTGCAGTTTGACTGGAATCGACACTTCTCATCTAGCCGCAGTAGCAGATTTAAAAATATTCGACAAAACTTTCCGTTGAGGTAGACCTGCATTTACACATTAATAACATTCTGATTTGACTATTTATTTTTTTTATTTTGCTTTGGCATCTTTATACTTCAAAGGAGCTGCGATAATGACGGAGGCGTGCGTCACCAACGCATGACACTATTAAAGACTTTTGTACATGTGGTTTTGCTTATAATATTTTGCAGATTTTTGATAATGAATTTATTGCTATGTTATTATTTCTTTGTATGCTATATAAACCATGAACCTAATCTATGTAAAAATATTGAAATAAATACTGAATCTTATTAATGTTTGTATGTATGTATATATGTAGGGAAATTTTCGTCAAAGCTGATTTCCTCCAGTACTTGGTGTAAAAATGGTCAAAATAGACTTTGAGTATGGAAATTCAAACTACAATTAAAATAAACTAGTAGAAAAATGTATATGTATGCTTTTAGAAAAAAATTGCGAAATGAATTCCGTTCATTAAGTGTCTGTCAAAGATTAAAGCCAAAAAGACTTTTGGAAATTCTAAGAGGAATCTCATATGCCGATAACTGCTCGACATTGCGGTTTCGCAGGATAAAAACTTAAAGATAAACTGCTGTATTCTCAAAACTTCGTCTTTAAAAATGCTGTTTCACGCAATTTTGTCATTTAAAATACCTTAATAAGAAATTCTGCATTAAGATATAATGCAGACAATAGTTTTGTACGTTGATCAAATGTCAATAACAATTTTTACCAAACTTTACTGGATCGCGTTCGTTGAACCGAAAACCCAGGAAAATTCTATACAAAAACGGACTGATAGGTTCACCAATACATTCACACAATTTCGGGCAGCACCAACACAAAAGCAAATTTTTTTGTTGGCCTTCTCTTCCGAGTACATACAAATTTAGGGAGCAACTGCATTCTCCTAATCCGTTTTATTTTATGTTTTTAATTTTGATCCTATACAAGCTGAGGTAATAATATAATATATTGTCGATTAATTAACTACTTCATTTTTCATAACTCTTAAAACTGTTTTTATTTAAGGGTATTCCATATTGTACAAAAAATTCTGTTAAGGGAACAGGTTAAGTATAATGGACGCTTCTCATCTTGCAGTAGCAGCACATCTTAAAAATATTCAACAAAAATTTACGAGGTACAACTTCTGATTGCAGTTAATAACATTACGATTCGACCATTATTTTCTTAATTTAATTACGACTTTATACTTCAAAAGAGCCGCGATTATGACAGAGGCGTCTGTATAGCTGCATCACCAACACATGACACTGTGGGCAAGTTCCAAAACGTCATAATACTTTGGAATGGTGCGGTTTTGCTAATATTTTGCTGATTTTTGGAATCGAATTTATTGTTGTATTGTTATTTCTTTTTTATACTGTGTAAACCACGTATATGAAGTATATAAAATATTCGAATAAAGACTGAATCTTAATAATGTTTGTATGTATATTCCTGTCTGGTCAAATGATCGGAAGCCTTCTTGCAGGGTTAGTAACAAGAGAACACAATTTTGACGTTTAGTTTGGTGAGAAAGTAACAAATTCCTCTGCAAGAAGGCTTCCGATCATTTGAGCCAACATATGTCAGGAATGCATGACGGCATATCCCGTCAGCTTGTAGAACGATTTTCCTATCACTTTTTTAAGGCCGAAATGACTAACGTTATGTTTACATTTGTATACGTGTATGTCATTCTCTCTTCATTTCCTTGTGCATTTTTGTCATTCTTGTCGGACAAACCGAACACATCTGAGCGACAGTATTGATACCCAAAGAAGACAATATGGACGTAGAAAAACAGCAGCAGTGCCGTACAAGCCGAATACATATGAGCGACAGCATTGATGCCGAAGGAAATCAGCTTCGACAAAAAATTACCCTACATAATTATTAAGATTCAGTCTTAATTCCAATATTTTTACATAGATCAGCTACATGGTTTATATAGAATACAAAAAAATAACAATATAACAAACAAAAGTCTTAGTCCTCAGCTCCACGAACGCCTCCGTCATAATCACGGCTCCTTTGAAGTATAAGGACATCTAAGTAAAATTAAAAATAATTTTCGAATCGTAATGTTATTAATATCTTAATGCAGTTGTACCTCGTAGTTTTGTTGAATATTTTTGTGATTTCTTTCATTCTACTTAACCTGTTCCATTAACAGAATTTTTTGTACAATATGGAGTACCCTTAAATAAAAACAATGTAAAGAGTTATAAAAAATCCAGAAGTTAATTAATCGACAATATATTATTATCACAACTTGTACAGGACTCATCAGATATATATTTTTCACTTCTATCTGCTGCGGAGAAAACGGTTAAAAAAAATTGGGTTCTACTCGAAAATAAGAACAAAGAAAATCGGATAATCCGTTCATTTACATTCTTCTTTAATTTGTATGCACTCAAAAGAGAAAGATAAACAAAAAAAAATGTGCATATGTGTTGGTTCTGACCAGGATGGTGTAAATGTATTGGTGAACCCATCAGCCCGTTCTTGCAGGGTGTACAACTCGAAGTATTCGAATCTAAAATTATGTCCGAATGACATTTTTAGTAAATGCTCCATAAAGTAGCATACTGTAGCTACTCAATGGAATAATTCTAGAATTAGTTTCAAAATATTTACATGATTTAAATTATTGAAAAACATGAGACATACATTTTTAATTTTTTAGTATATTATTATTTTGTTATCGGATATCTTCGAGTATAATTGTTCAACACTGATTTTCTGCCTAAATGCAGAAATACAGATATGAAATAAGTATGTATATAATAACAGAATAATACTCAAAAAATTATAAACATAAAATGCTAAAAAATTCAATTGAAATTTAAAAAGTATTACAAAATTGCATCTATTCACTATTTCGGAAGCTCCTCAATGTATAACCTAAAATATAAGTAAAATATTATAAAACAATTTAATAGTATGTGGGTAAGATCAATGAGAAATATAATCAATATTTACTTACCTAAATAAGTCTCAGAATTCCCTTGCAATATCTCAAAAGCCCCAAGGTGGATCGCCTATGATAGGAATATTTATTACAGATATTATGACAAAAAAGCCAATTTTGCAACTAAGAACAATCAGAAATTGATAAATCTTTCAATAATTTTAAGATGTCCCTATCGATGTTTATCATCATTTTTTGATAAAGCGGTCTTACGAGCACATGCACATACTGATATTTACTTACCTAAATAAGTCTCAGAGTTGCCATGCATTATCTCAAAAGCCCCAAGGTGGATAGCCTATGATAGGAATATTTATTACAGATATTATGACAAAAAAGCTAATTTTGCAACTAAGAACAATCAGAAATTGATAAATCTTTCAATAATTTTAAGATGTCCCTATCGTTGTGTATCATCATTTTTTGATAAAGCGGTCTTAAGAGCACATACATATACTGATATTTACTTACCTAAATAAGTCTCTGAGTTGCCATGCATTATCTTAAAAGCCCCAAGGTGGATCGCCTATGATAGGAATATTTATTACAGATATTATGACAAAAAAGCTAATTTTGCAACTAATAACAGTCAGAAAGTGATAAATCTTTTAATAAATTTAAGATGTCCCTATCGATGTGTACCATCATTTTTTGATAAAAAAAAGTCTAACGAGCACATACGTAATCTGATATTTACTTACATAAGCTCCGAAAATTCCAGTTATGTGAAAAGGTCCCAGAATGGATTCCCAAGACGGCAAAACTTAGTGCATTTTTGGCTTGAGCTCAAAACAAAACAATAAGATTTAGGTTGCTTGACAAACTTTACAAGGCTCCAATATAAGAGTTGATAATCTTTTGGTGCCAGTGTGATTTGAAATTAAAGGTACATATATAAACTAAATTTTAGCCTAATTCAAGATAAGCGTTTTCGTTCTTATAGTCTTCATACTTTCACGTGTTTACAAACTTATTTTTAAATGTATAACATGGAGTTTTCACGTTCTTTATAAACCAGCCATAATTTCGCCCTGCCTCATAGACATTAGTTCTTAGCAGACTTTCTCTCGCATAGCGACAAAGCACCCCGATGTATGAAATTAACAGATCTGAGCGTATTCAAACACAAGAGAGAACTATAATCTACGTTTATTTATCGCATACGTTCTCTGAGCTTTTTACTTAATTGGGAGATTTCTTTATAGTAACGGCACGTTTTACTTTGCTGGAAAACACAAACCATTTTTATATGATAACAATGTACTCGTACATTATTTCTATGTAGCACTACCTTTTTATATTTGAAAAACTTGAAAGATTTCGTAAAAAATTTTCACAAATCTAAGCATTAAGAATATAAGTTGCTTCTTCTTGCTTAAATAATGTCATTCCAATCACAATAAGTTTATAAATTTCCTTCAAGTTTGTTTCGTTCCCGTCGAATAGTAATAAAACAGCGAAGAAACGGGTAAAGACTGCTGCTAAAGAAGGCCTAGATGTATAGACCTACCAAAAGAGGGATTGTCAGTTGTTGGAGTTGTTGTGTTGGTTGTCGACAATCTATAGCAGTTTGAATAAGTTACCACATATTAATACCAAAGCGCCGAACACGGGAAGACATGACAGCAACTTTTACGGCAGTCGGTTCTATACATATGAGATGGCTCGGATTTTATCCGAGAAGGGCTGTCATCCTTAGGTCAACCGGATGAGACAGTATAGTTGATATGGCAGGAAAAATGAGAGGGAGTCTTTTAGTATCCCAGAAGAAGAGCCTGGATCTGTTAGGTGAACAACCTGGTGTATCGAATCCAGGCCGTTGATTGACTGAAAACCTGAGGCGAAAGTTCGATATCAGAAACATTTCTTAAAGAACTCTCAATGGATGTATTCAAGCGGTCGACTGCTAGGCGAAGGGAGATACTGTTGTCAAGTTCAGCAGTATGCAACATACTGTTACGATTTTACTAAATCCCCTCGATTATTTTCTAGATCCTTCGGGTACGATCTCTGGATTGTTAAATAAAAACTCGCCAACTTAATTTGCAGTTTCTTTCGTTATAAAGATTCTATCTAATGTCCTTTATTTTCTCAGTAATTCACAATTCAATTATACTGCACTTTACTATTTATAATCACTAACATCAACTTTCACAATTT